ACATATAATTATTTTCGTATTTTTGTAAGTCAAACGTTGACGTATGGCTAAATTTAATTGAAAATTTCCATAAACTTTTTACACACAATTTTTAGCCTAATGGAACCGTTCTACGTTTTTTCTTGGCTGATCAGAATATTAATAAGGTATGTCAATGACATTTAAGCTTTAAAAATTCTATCCTAGAATCATCGTGGAGACTTTCAAATTGATCCTGATAAGGTGGCTCCATTCAAATTGAGCAAGTTCGTGCATGAAGAGCACAAGCATTATGACGATACCGTGTTTTTAAAGGGAATACCGGATACTTATGCAAACCTACATTATATGGTAAAAATTTGAAGATACCTCATGTTTCCGAGCCCTTGTGCCTCACAAGATTTTAGTATAAAATAATGACGTATAGCTATTACAATAATCATAAGGAGGAGAAAGATCCAGCTGGCTAACGGGTATCCTTAGAAACTCCCAAACTTATTGGCCAATCAAAATAAAAGCCTAAACAATGCTTCGAAATTTACAGGTTCATGCAGCCTTTCAATGGCAACAAACATTCTGCCCTCAGGCGAGATATGTGATGAAAACAGACGATGATACTGTCGTACATCTAGAACGTCTATTTTTTTGGATTAAGATTAAATTTGATCTTGAATTGGATGAAAAGAACCCTGCCTCATGCTTTGGAAATGCTTTGATCAACACAGCACCTATAAGGGAAAAATCTCACAAATGGTATTTAACTAATAATTTAAGGAAGATAAAGATCCAGCTGGCTAGCATTTAAAACGCTCACTAGGCGAGAGTTTAAGATCTTATAAAAGAGAAGGTGAAAGCAGCGTCCCGGTAGCTCAGTCGGTAGAGCACTTGTGCTTGGTGAGCGAAAGCGCCTAGCAATAACTGCCAAAAGGTCGCAGGATCGAAGCCTCCCGGGATTAAATTTTTATCTCTCTCTTATTATATATGTAAAAAGTTTCCTCTTGAGACTATACTTTCTCCAATAATAGTGACATGCGTTAGCCCTCATTATACTATAACTAGTTCCAATCAAAAAATTTGAGATCCCGGCTCTAGTTTAAAACATGCGTCCCAAGAGCTTTTATGCGTCCCAAAAATAGTATAGGCGTCCCATCAGATGTTTTATGGAACATCTATTTTTACTATTCTTGGGAACATATACTCTGATAGGACGCATAAAATCTAATGCAAAGCATAAACGCTCATGGAACGCATGTCCTAAACTAGAGCCGAGATTTCTTTAAACTGATAGTCTAATGAATATTAAATTGATATGCTTAAAATTAGAGATGCTTCCAAGATTAGTTTAGTAAAAATTAAATTTATAAGATTGTTTGTAAGGTTCTAGTAATCAAATATAAATGCTTCATAAAACCCCCGAATTCTTCAAGTTTTTAGTTACAGCAGTATCATAGGCAGCATTGAAGACAACCTCTGCGAATATTTTAAAATTAATGAAAATTTAGAATTTTAATGGTTGATGAAGATGGCTAAGATTAAAACGCGTAGTTGGGTATACTATAAATGAGATCACAACTTATCCAAAGCTGTAAGCTTTATCAAATAAGAGTGATCAATCTCAAGTCAAGTCTGGTGACTAAAGGGTGACTATGCCTTAGGGGTTGACTAGACCTTAGCTAAATTCATACTTAGTTTGAGAGATTGAGTGCTCAATTCTCTCATTAGAATTGAGAGAAGAGGGTAACTCATTCTAATTTTTATTGAATAAGCCTATCAGATAAACGAATATGATAGCAAAAAGCAAACAAAACTAAAAAATATTTAATATGAGCTAACAAAAATTGATTAAATATGTATAATATTAACGATTATTATGGGTATAAGCTTTAGGAGGTGAATTGATAAAATTGTATTTGAGTGTAAAAAGGTATTCAGATTCCTAATAAATCCAAAAAATTGATAAACGAGACTTCAAATAATTTCCAAATCATATAATTATGCCATTCCGTTCGACTTCATATTTTTTGTTAGAATAATGTCGCAAGTTGCGTTGAACACAAAGTCTTGAAATTAATAGAAATTTTGTGATAGAAATTTTGAAAATTATATAATCAATTTTTGTTAGACACATAAATATACATAGAGGGTTAACACGATTAAAAACAAGGAATAGTTAATAGATATCAGAAATTGGAAATAATAAAAAACATCTAACCACCACAACACGATAATAATGGGTAATTAAAAGCAAAATTTAAAAGTCTACAAAAAGTGTCAGAATTGACTTGAGTTTCAGCTTAAGCTTCTGCAAGTAGTTTCTTTTGCGACGTTTTTATTTAACGTAAACGCAGGTCTAATTACAAAGTTAGGTACTTATTGTTTCAATTTATCGCAGAAGTAGGTATAATTAATATTGAGGGGATGGGTGATTACTTGAGCAAATACAGTAAGTTAAAGTTTAAGCTTAGTGTTAAATAGAATTAATTATTTAGGCTCTAAGTTTATCTTCGAAATACTTAATCAGAATCATACCAGAAAACGCAAATTAAAATAACATATACTAAGTAAAATAAAACAAAGTAAAAGAACAGTGGACAAACAAGTATGAGGGCTTCTAACTCAAATTTATTTGTAAATTTGGTAAATTACTCACCGACATTCCTAGTGTCAGTTGCGTTAGTTGTATGCATATAAAGCGGCCTGCGGTCATTTCCTTTGATCTTAAAATTTTTTTTAATTTTTAATAATTTTCTTGATTTTCAACCTTTGAAAAAAGGCCTTTGACAAAATCAATTGCAACATCGAACAATTCTTCATCTGTCATTTCATCATTTAATTCTTCTGAATTTTAAAAAATTTATATTAAGTATTCATTCGAAATTAACTTTTAAATTCAGGATAAAAATTTTCGAGAGGAGCATATTTCAATTTTTCGGCAAATATATCCATTTTATTCAAAAACATTATTAAAGATGACGGCCTCAAAAATTTATTTCTGTAAATTTGCTTGAATAAATCCTTTGTGTCAGTCATTTGATTCTGAAAAATAATTTAATTAGTAACAGAGAAGCTGAAGTAATCCAGGTATTAGGGCATCGGTCAACTCTGAAATAATTTAAGCACTTTATGTATGTACCAAGCTTAGTCTACGTACCAAGAAGAGGTGGGTCGGAACAGTCAGAGGTGTCGGAAATCGGAAGAAAAAAAAACGTGAGAAATCGGAAGTCGGTCTAGTTAAACACTAGTTAAACAACTAGAACATAGAATCTCTAAAAATTGCACAGCCTCTCTGCTTTTTGACTGTACGTTGTAGAGATAGAGAAATTTAGAAATTAAAGGGAAGTTTATGTATTTTGTTTACAACTTATCTAATATTTTTAATTAACTAATTGACTATTATATAATTTCCCTAAAATTTGTTTACTCTGTGAACCACCGGCTGCCGTCTCCTGTTAGGAAGGGGAGAGTTGTACTTGTATACGACTCTCTCTGAGATCTCTCCCATTATGGGAGGGGGGACCGGAATGCAGGGAATTTCCCGCTTCCTGCTCTCATGTATGTAAATTACGATTTAAACAAAGTATTCACTTTGTTTAAAAATGACTAGTTTACATCGTCTCCCCTAACAGTTGTATTCGGAAGGAGGGCCTGGTTTTCTCATTATGAGGGTTCGTTAATTTTTTAAATTTATTTTTCAAGTTCATCATCAACTACCGGAGAGATTATTTTCTGTGACACGCAAAACAGCGCATGCCAAAACGTTGTCACCGAAAGGTGCGACACGAAGAAGTTTGACAAGACTCGGCTCAAAATGATGGTATCGGTCTCGGTCTCGGGTTGGCCGATACCAGTATCGTTTTGATCAACTCTACTTTTAACAGAAAGTGCCATAAAGAATGGATAATAACGGCTCATACAATAAATGATTTATGTTTTGTCTTTCTTTCTTATTCGAAATAAATGTTTATTAATTAACATTTGCGAACATACACTGCTCCACATAATTATAAGTCCACCCGTTTTTTCGGGATTTTTTGACTTCCAGTGATCCAAATTTTCTGAAAATTTAGAAACACGCCTTTTAGTGAATAACTAACAAGATGTAAATCGATTTTTGGCTGATTTTTTATTCAAAAAATTTTTAGACCAAAATTTGCATTTTTGGCCTCCACAAAATTATAAGTCCACTTTTCAAAAAAGACATTTCCAAGATTAGGAAAAATCTACAAAAATTCTAGCAAACAGACATAATGTTATTATGAAAAAATAAAAAAGAACTAGGCCCATATCTTTACCCGGAGCCGAGATCCTGAGACCCCGAAAATCAACGTAAACCGGGGGTAAGGCTCTTTAAAAAATTTTTTCGACCCCTTATGGATTGTTTTGAATTTTGATATTGGGCTCATTCGAAAGCCCTTGAAATTTGCTATAAGATCATTATAATTTTATTTTTCAGAAAAAATTTTACTGAGATTCACAGACAGTTAAACTTTCGAATCCACATAAAGGGCATTTTATGGGGTATTTTGCTGCATCAGAAAATTAATGGCCTATATCTTTCTAATGGGTTTTTCTATAAAACATATTTAATTCTATCTTGTAGCAAATTTCATGGGCTTTCGAATGAGCCCAATATCAAAATTCAAAACAATCCATAAGAGGTCGAAAATTTTTTTAAAGAGCCTTACCCCCGGTTTACGTTGATTTTCGGGGTCTCAGGATCTCGGCTCCGGGTAAAGATATGGGCCTAGTTCTTTTTTATTTTTTCATAATAACATTATGTCTGTTTGCTAGAATTTTTGTAGATTTTTCCTAATCTTGGAAATGTCTTTTTTGAAAAGTGGACTTATAATTTTGTGGAGGCCGAAAATGCAAATTTTGGTCTAAAAATTTTTTGAATAAAAAATCAGCCAAAAATCGATTTACATCTTGTTAGTTATTCACTAAAAGGCGTGTTTCTAAATTTTCAGAAAATTTGGATCACTGGAAGTCAAAAAATCCCGAAAAAACGGGTGGACTTATAATTATGTGGAGCAGTGTATACGCTTCTTGATATTAAGGAAAATTTTCCCGACTTCTTGACAATAATGAGATTTTAAATTTAAATAACCCACAATATTTGCATCTTCCTCCAATACATTATTGTAACATGCAAGTGAAACAATAAATAAAATAGCGGTGACACCCTCTTTAAATAAAAATTAAATTTTATATTTTTAATAAAATTTAAAAATTCCAACCAAAACAATGAATCCATTTTCGACGTTCTGTTTTCTGACCGCCTACATCAATTAACCTTAATGTAAATTTTTATTGCTTAATATATTTTTTTCTATTTTACCTTATGGTAAACTGCCTGAAAGAGAAAATAATTTCATAAATCCCTTTAGTTGAAGCCCTAGCTCTGATTATATCATCAAGTGAAGGGCTGTATTCTGGATGTATTATTCTGGAGACTTGGCTCAAAAGGCTTAAATTAAACGATAAAATATATCAGGAGTTTTAAGCAAAATAATAAAAAGAAAATTAAATCAGACACAAAAATACTGAAGAACAAGATAAAAATCTCTTGAACAAGGTCAGAACTAACTACGAATAGATCAGAATATAAACAGAATATCAAAGAAATAAAATAAGAAATTATCAAAAAAACCAGAATTAAATTAAAACATGTTAATAAAGACTAAATCAGAATATCGACAAAACAAAACCAGAACTAAATAAAAACATGTTTAGATGCTATCAGAATAAATAAAAGACAATATCAGAATATTAACAAGAAACCAGAATTGTAAAATTGTGTTAATTAAAACAAAAGCAGAATCAGAATAAAGTTAGGAAACGAACAGAAACAGAAAATTAATCATAAATAAAATAGCACTTACTAAGTAGTATTGTCTGGCACATAAAATTCCATTAGCCGTGAGCATGCAGCTTTAACACATTTACAGTTAAGGAATTGAACAATCTAAATCCGGAATAAATTTATTAAAAATTTAAAAACAAACAATTCCAATTAAATCGTTTGATTCAGTCATATTAAAATATTGGCCATAATAGGACTGTTCGAAAGTCGAAATTAGTTCACGCTCCGATGGAGGGATATCTATTTGCAGTTTATATATGCCTTTGGCTATGTGGACGAAGGAGTCAATGTAGTTACTTTGTACCATATATCTTAATTAAATAAATTAATTTTTGGGTAAATGAAATTAGTTTTTTGCTTAATATTAAATAAATTGATAAAGGATTTATAAAAAGATTTAATGTGTTCTTCATTAAAGTTAAAATCTGATCTAATAACTTATATTTTTGTATATCGGTGTTAATCACTGATAATTAAACAACATAACCTGGATTACGCGACCAGATTCACGATTCCCTAAAATCGTGAATTCGCTATTTTCGTGAATTCACGATTCACGAATTTAAATTTCGGAATTTGAAAATCGTTAATTGAACATACTAGTGGTATTAATTTAAGTTGCGAATTATTTTGGTCATTTTAGTGTTTATAATTTTAGAGGTTCACGTTTAAAGTTTCCTTATTTTCAGAGGTTTTCTTTATTCCTTCCTAACTTCCTGTGCTATTAGAAGCACGAGTCATATGCTATTTTCAAATTATTTTTATTTATCTATTTACTTATAATGTTGTCGCTCTTCGTGAGTGAATCCATCAGTGTGCAATATCCTTAAATTAAATATTTAATCATTTAATTTTTATTTTTTATGGTTTCTCACCTCATTTGCTTAGCTATTGTGCTTTTGCCTGAATCAGAAGCTCCAAGCAGCAATATCTTTACAACTTTATCATTCATCTCTGCCTGTTTCTTTATTTCCATGTCAATGACCTTGCTCTATAAAATAATTTTTTGAATGATTATTGGGACATATCAGAGGCCGGAAGCAGGCTTAAATGATACTTTCGTCGTGTAAGGAAGTGAAAAATCGAGCTGGCTATTATTTAAAACGCTCAATAGGCGGGGGTTTAGGATCTATTAAAAGAGGAGGTGAAAGCAGCGTCCCGGTAGCTCAGTCGGTAGAGCACCTGTAGGAGGTCGCAGGATCGAAGCCTGCCCCCCCCCTTACTGTCGTCTGTCTCACAAGACGATTTTTAATTTTTTTTTGACTGTACTTTAACACAATTTTTAAATGAGTTAAAATACAAAACTATATTGAAAAAAAATTATTTTTGTTTTAAAATCGCGTGGTATTAAAAAGAATTTTAAACGACTTGTAGTTTATAATTATTTGTTTTGGCTGGTTTTTAACTCAAAAAACAGCTTATTTTACAGTTTAATGAACTTTAAAAATATATCCTAAGGTACACGTAAAGGATTAAATTTTAATTAAGACAGACATTTTTTGAGTAAAAAGATTTGTTTGTTATTTATGTTTTGAAAAAAATATGAACAAAAATATTTTGCTCAAAAATAAGAGTTTTTACTCCTTAGCAATTATATTAATTAATATTATTTATAAGAATATGAATTTTTGTTGTAGTTATGAAGATTTGTTGAATATATGTATTTTTGAATATCAGTGTTATAAACTGATAAATAAGCTGGAGAATTGAATAATTATAACTTGATTAAAAAGTTTTTAAATAGAGATGGATGGGATTCTAAGTTACACTTAAAGGATTAAGTTTATAATTAAGACAAACTTTGTTAATTAAAAAAATTTGTGATGTATGAAATAAAAAGATCGTAATGAACTGATAATTTTCTCAGAAATATGAGATTTTGCTCCATAGCAATTATATTAATTAATAATTATTTATAAGAATATGAATTAGAGTATAAATTTGTGCTGGTCTTGTTACCCATGGTAATTTTTTGGATATCAGTGTTATAAACTGATAAATAAGTTGGTATATTGTGAGATATTATGTTGATTAGTACAGAGGCTATAAAAATTCTGTACACAATTAAAAAACTTAAAATTTGATAAAGGCAAAGTGCCTATATAAATATGATAGAGATCGCTCTAAAGCGTGCAATATTATGAATACATTCATAGAATCTGAAAAATAGTCAAAAATATGAGTTTTTGCTCCTAATCACTTATATTAAGTAATAAATATTATAAGAATATGATTTTGAGCGTAGATATGGAGGAGTTCGTTCCAATTGCGCATATATTTATTTTTGGATATCAGTGTTATAAACTGATAAATAAATGGGTTATTGTCAGATATAGCCTAATTACAGAGGCCGTAAATAGGGTTGGGCGCATTTTCAATGAATAGAAATTTGTTAAAGGCAAAGAATCCTAAATAGGCCTAGAGATCTGTTAAAAGTGGAAAACTTTATCGGATACATACATAGTTTCTGAAAAATAGTAGCTTATGACAAATTGTATTCTATCTTAAATAGAGCTATAATCACATTTGTGCTAGAATGGTCCAAAACATAAACCTTGTTAAGTAAACCTGAGAAGCTCCTTAGTAATTTTATTAATTAATAATTATTTATAAGAATATGAATTTTGAGTGTTAATATGTAGAGTTCGTTGCCAATTTTAGGGAGATTTAATTTTTGGATATCAGTGCTATAAACTGATAAATAAATTTGAATATTGTAAGATATTATCTTGCTATAAAAATTTTGTACACAAATAAAGAACTTAAAGTTTGATAAGGGCAAAGTGCCTATATACATATGATAGAGATCGCTCTCAAGCGGGCAATATTATGCATACATCCATAGATCTGAAAAATAGTAACCTATAAAGGATCGTATCGTAAATAGGTGTTTTGTGGGGTTTGACTGTCACATTTCAATCACTTTAGTTTTTGCTCGGGAATACGAGTTTTTTGCTCCTAACCATTTAAATTAATTAATAAATATTATAAGAATAAGAATTTTGAGTGTAAATATGTGGAGGTCCATATGCTATACTATGTATTTTTGGATATCAGTGCTTTAAACTGATAAATAAATTGGTATATTGTGCCTAAATACATATGATACAAATCGCTCTCAAGCCGGCAATATTATGAATACATTTCTAGAATCCGAAAAATAGTACCTATAAAGGATCGTATCGTAAATAATTGTTTTGTGAGGTTTGACTGTCACACTTTAATTACTTTTTTTGTTTTTGCTCAAAAATATGAGCTTTTGCTCCTAATCACTTATATTAAGTAATAAATATTATAAAAATATGAATTTTAGTGTAAATGTTGAGACGCTTGTTCCAGATGTGCTTATATTTATTTTTGGATGTCAGTGTTATAAACTGATAAATAAGTTGGCATATTTTTTTTCGCAAAAAATTACAAAAATTCCGGTTTTAAAGCCGGTCGCCAACAACTCTAATACATACCCAATTTCTGAAAAAATAGTATCCTAAATAAAGCGTAATTGGGGAAGTCGACTTTCGACTTTAATTTTTTTAACTAACCCTCTCAATCTGTAGTTTCTCTACAGCAACAGTCAAACCAACATGTTGAGTATTATGATTGTTTTCAGTATAAATGCGGCCATCAGCAAATGGTCGTTGTAAATTAGTTAAAGAAGAACAACAAATAATAGCACTCATTGCGTTGAGGGCTGAACCTACTATTCCACTACCTTAAAAAATATTTTGTTTAGTTTAACTGAAATTGTCTGGAAATTTTGTAAATTTTTATCAATAGATTTTTATTTTATGAACAAAATGCCAAAAAATAATTTGTAAAAATTATGTGAATTATTAATGGGTTTTCATTTTTGTTAGACATTATATTCAGATTCAAAGTCAAATTATAAAAGGAAGGCTAAGAAGGAAGGCTAAAGAGCCTAAGGAGCCTATACTAAGTAGCCTATATTAAGTAGGAGCTAAGGAGGAGGGTTAGGAAGGAGTACATACATAGAACACAAAATTTAAGCTTAAGACAATATTACGCTTAAAAATATTCAACTTATTTACTCCTTATATTATTAATTAATAAAATATATTTAAAAATGTAAATTCTTGTCATTAATAAGATTCGGGACGAAGAAGCTCTTATATTTTTGTATATCAGTTATATAAACTGATAATTTAATTAAGATATTTCAACGTTAACAGAGGCCACTGACTTGATAATAAACAATTGGAAAAAATTAAGAAAGGAAAAAACGCGTTATAATGTGCAAGTACAGACCAATTTACTTGGAATACTTAGTCATTAACTGCGTATTAACAAATTCAGGCCTACAATTTAGAACAAATTATGACAAGTATATTGAAACAATTTACAATTAGACAATGAGGAAATGATAAATTTTTTAAAAATTATAGGCTAGAGTCAGTAAGTTTGTCAAAAAGCCTATGGTCTTTATGAACTCAGCCTATTAAGAAATGCAGTCTGAGCCAATTCTGGTATATTTGATTAATTAAACAGGTGAATTATTGTTTCAACATTCGTTTGAGAGTAGGGTTTTCAACAAAATTTTATCTACAGGTTACTTGGGTTTCGGATTAAAAACTTTAGATTTCGATTCTTATCTAAATAATTTTATTATTTGGGAAATTTTTATGAAGTGGCAATTTTTAATTTTCGTGCTAAAATTTTTATAAATATGGGTATAAATTTATTGAATAAATCCCAAAATTTTAGAATCTAAACAGGTAGTGAAATACCCTAATTTACTGTAATTAACCTAAAAGAGACTATTAATTGAGACAAACAATTCAGATTATTTCTCTTTGTTGAAGCCTAAAATATTTTTAAAAATAGAGGAATAAAAACATAAGCTCAATATTAGCTCAATCTCAAAAAAAAAAACAGCTAAAAATCAATTAAAATTAAAAGTCGCAAGATTAAAAATTTTCTCATAAATTTATAAAAATAATTGGCTTAATCGTCAATTCTAAAATTTTAATGAATTTAAGTAACTTGTTTCCAAGGCAGCGAAATTTTCTTTAAAAACAAATGTTTATTTATTTGAAATTTAATAACTAGATTAATTAGGTTTTAAATTGGCACGCAAACATGTTAATTTTAATAAAGTTTAAAGGGTAGAATTTTAAAGGCCAAAATGAGTTACCTAACAATAAAAAAATTAATGATAGAAGGAAAATAAGACTAATGCCAAAACCATTGGCAATAACAAAGATGTTTGACCGATATTAACTACTATATGACCGAAGTAACAGGTGTGTGTGTGCGTCAGAGTGGGGCGGAACAGTCAGAGGTGTCGGA